TATGTGGGACTCGGCCCCAGGATGGACGGAGAAGTGGTGCCTCGATGCGCACCCGGGATCCGAACCCGGGCCACCAGCATTGCAGCGCGCGCACTTAACCACCAAGCCACAGGGCCGGCCCATCTCCCCCATTTTTATTCAGAAATAATTGGCACACGTCGCTGTATAAGTTTAAGGCACCACTATTTTTTCTGATGGGAAAACTGAATCTTGGAAAAGTTACATTGTGATTTGCCCAAGGTCAGAGGTCTCATGTTAAGGATAGCAGAGCAAAAGACAAAAGTAGTCTTGATGACACAGTTTCCATACTGCACCAGGCCCGGATATTCAACCAACAAACACTGTTATGTGAGAAATAATAAATCCTTATTTATGTAAGCCTCTATTAGTTGAGTTTTCTGTGATTTGCAGCTAAATACATTCCTGACACACTCCAAAAATAGTATTGAACTTTGGAAGTCACCTTTGGAGTAGTGTATCCAAAGGCACACCAGCTGTCAAAAGCCCTGGCACCACTGACTGAGCATTAGGAGGGCTGGTGTGTGGTACCCAAAGAAACTGACCAAATGTTCCTGAAATTAGGATTGGGTTCCAGGAGAAACAAAAGCCTTGGAAGTATTGATTACAGATCTGTCGATGTGGTTCCTTTTTCCAAAATAGATTTGGGAGGGCTGCACAGTGTATGTTAAAGACTTTGAAGTTAACCAAAGAGACTCCACACTCAACGGCATCACATTTGTGACAGTTAATTAGCAGAAAATATTACAGTGCGGTGAAGTTTTTGCCTTTTCTTTTTTTTAACGCATCAAAAGCAATAAAAGGCTTTGGGGTTTTAATTGCTTCTTCCCAAAGACTGAATTCTGCTCTCACTGCAAAGACAGAATCCCTCCCTCAAAGTCAAAAGAATCCCTTGTGATGTTTTTGGATCACAAGGACTACAACAGGGGTAGACATTTAAATCTGAGAGAACTAAGAAAGTTTTCATAAGGTGGTCTCTTATTTTTGTTAACCAAAAACATATAATTTCAGAGCAGGAAGATTTTCCCTCTATTATATGTGAATGCTGCCATCTGTAATTCAGGAGTGAGCTTAGGTGGTTTCCACTTTGGTTTCTATTACACTAATTAGGTTCTTCCCATGAAAAATAAAAAGTATACTAGACCTTATTGTACGGATACGATTACTGTATTACACAGCAGCTGTGTGTTCCCACACTGAATTACACTGGATTACCTTGGAAACCTGAAATGGATAGTTGATTCTCGATTCCTTAAAACCTGACGATACTATAAAATAGTATGAACAAAGAGGGGAAATCAACTTTAGACACTGAAGAATACAAAGTTATAGGCAGCCTAAACTATATTTCAAAGCCACACTATTTAGACAAGCTGATAAATTTGCACTAATGCTTTTAAATGGTTCTGTCACTTTAAGTGCTAGTTAAAGAAAAGAGAAAGTAAAAAAAGAGAATTATACTGAATTGAATTATACATCAATCAGAAAAAAAACAGTAGCTAAGTAAAACAGACTGTTAAAGAATTGCCTCTTTTTTTACTGAGGTATAATTGACATATAACATTGTGTAAGTTTAAGGTGTACAACATATTTGATACATTTATATTGCAATATGATTGCCATTGTAGCAGTAGCTAACACCTATCATGTCACAGAATTATCATTTCTTCTAGTGGTGGGAACAATTATGATCTAGTCTCCTAGCAAGCTTAATGTTTATAACACAGTTTTGTGGTCTATAATCACTGTACTGTGGATTAGATCTCCAGGACTTATTTATCCACTAGTTGCAAGTATATACCCTTAAACAACATCTCTCCCATTCCCCCACCCCCCAGCCCCTGGTAACCACCGTTGTCTGTTTCTTTGAGTCCAGTTTTTTAGATTCCACATATAAGAGATTATATGTCTCTTTTAAGGAAAGAATCTAAATATAAAAATCCTATATGCTAAGTGCTGTACGCTAATTGAGTTAAGATGCTAACCCATGAGTCCGTAGGCCCACCAGGATGAATGTGTTGAGGTGGCAGAGCCTCAGGGAGGCAGCCAGGCAGAATGGCTCAGAAGACTGGCTTATGAGTATGGCCTTGAGCAAACTACTTGCCCTCCCTGTGGCTTTCTTCTCTCACTGGAAATTATAGATAATAAGAGCTCATAGTGTTGTCGTGAGGATTAAATGAAACAATACACATCAAGGAGCTAGAAAAGTGACTGGCACACATCGAGCACGCTGATACTAGGTTATTATTCTACCTTAAATATTCATGCAGAAATCTGACATTGCAACCTGAGGTTTTGCAATTTGAAAGTATAAGGTGTTCATCTACATAATAGGTAGTTATGCGGATGTATCTTCTGTGCACCAAAGGACAGATGAAAACTAGTAATAAATTTAAATATTTTCTAAGCCTACTTGAATGAAAGCTTAGAGAATCTATCCCTGAATTCCTTATTGATACTCTCAGGTGCTTTCCAAATGAGATCTGCTACTTTAAGCCAAAGTAGATTACCTGGGCAGTTGTAACTGCCCTTTATGGAGCTGAAGTCCATCTCAATGAAAAGCAAACTCCTTAAAAAGCCAGATTCCATTTTTATCTACACACATGCTAACCAAGTTGGCATATGTTCCAAGCATTCTATAGTGCATATTTTAAGCAGACCCTTCTCATCTCATGTAGCTTTCATTCAATTACAAAAGAAAAAGTGTGTCTTGCTATGACCAGGAATAATGCTAGATTTGTTGTCTACTCTGTTTGCATTCTGTCTTTTTCTCAGTATACCTTTCATCAATAAATAACAGTGTTGCTTTAACTAAAAAGTGTGGAAAATTCTGATTGAATTTTCCACTTCAAAGTACACAAAATCATTTCATCTAACATGCTGTGTTACAAAATCTATGCTCCATTCTGACCTCCTGTTGCAGTCTATTTCAAGTATTGGTGATGTACCGCCTCACACTGCATGGCTGCTGAAGTAAACATATTGACTGAGAAATGTTTTGAAAAACCCCTGTTCCACACAGATCCCAGCAACTGTCAAAAATCACAACAATGTTTGCATTCTGTCTGTGCAAGAGCATGACGGAGCTCTAGGAGAAATTCCCACAATAAATAAAACCAGCAACTTGCATAACTCTCCATCTAAGCAGGACTGTGCAGGGCTTAGGGTTAGGGGGAAAAGAGAGCAAGATTCAGCCCAAATAATCTGCTCAGAGGTATATGAGAGAAGATGTTATTAACTGTGCCCTTCCTTTAGCCTATTTGCAAGGGTAAAATAAAAATTTAGCAGAAGAGATTACCACCACCAGTGAGAAGGCACAACTCAGCCGGCAGGCAAGGAACACCGGGAAGGAAAGGTAACATATTGATTGACCTTTCCTTCCAATTGCAGGCTAGGCAGCTAGCTGTCTTTTTTCATTTGGGGAGATATGAGAGCTGCCCTAGCTTATTTTCCTGGACTAGCAAACTCAGACAGTCCCTGGACAAGTTAGGCAGCTGAGACCAGTATTCACCTACAATGGCATACCACTACAGCATTAACACTTTATAAGTAGAAGACCCTAAGCAGTAATGCTGTAATCAGATAGGCTTCTGGGTTAGAGCTCTTCCTTCCTTCAAAAATGCAAACTTCCTTATCAGAAAGCAGTGAGACAGATGTTTTCCAGGTGTACAGAATGGCAGCCAATATGAACTATTCATATTCCCTGAAATAAATAGCAACAGGGTCCATTTAACTCAATATTTCCCAAAGAACTTTGTTAATGGTATTGCTTGACAAGAAAAAAGTTCCTTGGCAAAAGGTTTTGTATTCAAATAAGTTTGAGAAACACCTAATTAAATATAGCCCAAAGATTTTACTCACTGCAAGATTTCCCCAAGATCTTTACAATTATTAGCATTTTATTTAACAAGAGCAAGGGGCACGGCCTACAGTGTTCCCCAAATTAATGGGACCATGGAACACTTTTGGGGGGAAACACCACTCAGGCACATACAAAGAACATGCTTTGAGAAGTGTAAGTTTAACGGAGCCTTTATCTTAGTACAATGATAGGATGACCATAGAAGCAGAGACCAAATTATTGTCCTGTGACATACCAGTTACTGCACTTAGTAACTGAATTTCACAGTGTTGTACTGCACCATGATGAAAGAGGTGGGTGCCCTACACTGTAATTCAACAGTGTCCCCTAGTACATCTTGCAAGACTGCACAACAAATCCAAGAGAAGACTGAAAACAAGAGCTACACAAACAAATCCCTTGTGGACAACAGTGATCAAATTTCTAAAGAACAAAGCATAAAAACACATGACTACCATTCCATAGGCCTATAGTTCACATGAAACCCAGTAAACAAGGACCATTACCATTTCCATGTGTTTATAACAGTGACAGAACAACAGAACCAGGCCCCTATTTATCAATGGCCAAGGCTTATCTTTGTTCTCTTTTCCCTTTGGCAAATTTCCTGATCTCCTTGGACACGTTTCCTATTTCTGAGACTTCCACTTAGGATGCAGACAATTGCAAGAGACCATTACTCTCAACTACATGAATGAAGTTACAAAGAAAAGCTGGAAATGAAAAGTATGTTATAAGTTTGGCTGGTTCCTCTCTCACCCATCTATGGCAGATTCCGCTTCCTCCTACCATTATTAATCCACCACAGTTGAGAGCTAGCCAAGCCTTTTCCTTCCTTTCAAGAGTGTATTACTTTCTGAAATTTACTTTTTTAAGGTTTACTTATGCCCTTAGCTTTTTAAATTTTTTAAACTATGATTTTGTAGCTTACCCAGCTTGTTTTGATTGTTAACGTAACAGCAATGGTCTCCTGTCATTGTCTACATCCTAAGTGGAAGAGGAAGCCTCAGAAATGGGAAATTTTGCTTCTTCATGTATCTATAATTTTGAGTAGGTGCCAAGCATTTTGAATAAAAGAACAGTAGAAACTGAGGTAAATAATATTTAGCTCCAGAAAAAGGTGTGTCTCTTCTATGTCACTCCCCTTGAGTAGGGGTGCTGAGTCATTCCGCTCTCTACTTGAGCTAGGTCTAAGTATTGTTGTGACCTATGGTCAAGAAAAGAGACAGGCAATACAAACAGATGCAGAGATAGCCAAGATCTTTGCGTTATCAAACAAAGACTCAAAAAGTAACTATGCTAAAGAATGCAGTGGCAAACATGTATGAAAACATGAATAAAGACATGAGGTATTTCTGTAGAGAGGCAGAAACTACAATAATAAAAAAGAACAAAAGGGAAAAGTTAGACTGAAAGATATCAGAATGAAATGGACTTACCAGCTGACTGAGCAAAGCAAAGAATAAAGAAAATTTAAGTCAAAATGATAGAACTTACCCAAAATGAATCACCAACCCAATAAGCAAAAAACAAAAAAGAGTATCTAAGACCTGTGGGACAATATCAAACTGCCTAACATAGGTTAGGTATAAATGGAGTCCCAGCAGGAGAGGAGAAAAAATGAGGTAGAAGATATATTTGAATAGATAACGGCCAAGGGCTTTCCAAAAATTGATGGGACCGGCCCGGTGGCACAAGTGGTTAAGTGCGTGCGCTCTGCTGTGGCGGACCGGGGTTCGCCAGTTTGGATCCCGGGCGCGCACCAACGCACTGCTTGGCAGGCCATGCTGTGGCAGAGTCCTGTATAAAGTGGAGGAAGATGGGCATGGATGTTAGCCCACGACCAATCTTCCTCAGCAAAAAGAGGAGGATTGGCAAATGTTAGCTCAGGGCCGATCTTCCTCAAAAAAAAAAAAAATTGATGCAAGGCATCAATCCACATATGCGAGAGGCTCAGTGAAACCTAAGCAGAATAGACATAAAGAAAACAGTACTTGGGCACATCATAGTCAAATCTCTTTTTCAGGCAGGAAGTAGGTAAATGTGTGTGAGGTAATGGGAGGGGAGTATTTATCCTCCCCCTCAAAAATAAATAACTTGAAAATGTGTTAAAACAGGCAACAGAGTTATCATGATACTGAAGCCAGTTACAAAAAGATGTCCTGGTCTCTCAGCACCGCCAGCAAGTCTATTTGAGCTGTTCAGGTTGCTCTTCTCAAGTATTGCTAGGAAACAATCCCCAGGCAAGATAAGAGTTACCTGGCTAAATGTCTAAATTACTTTTTAGAGTTGCTGTTTATGCTTTGATTTGTTTCTCTTTTTGTATAGTGGCAAACACGATACAGAAGTCCTTAAAGCCAAAGGGATGATTGGATGATTTCAGTAATTCTTCATAAATCTAGAGTCAAACTGGGTAACCTGTACTTAACCCATTCCGTGATCTTTTCATCTCTAAATTAAAAAGATTTCCTACACTCTTCCTGCAAATAAATTGCTAATCTCATCTTGGCCAACTGCCTATGACACAAGTCTTTGGCAAGCCCAACTCCGATGACTCTGAGAAAAGTCAACAAATGTAATTCACCAGCTTTTTAAAGCCCTTGAAAAAAAATCCACCTCAGGACAAGAAGGGCTGGGCTGTCACAATTCACTGATGCATACTTAACCTTTGCCAGCTAATAAACAAAAAAAGGAGAAAGATAACTGCAGCAAAAATCTGTGTTAGGAAAGAGAAACGGGCCAAACTAAACAGTTCTTCTTCCTTAATGTTTTTTGTCACAACATTCAAATAAACTTAAAACAGCAATTCCAGTAACTGAAATATTAAAAGCCATAGTGACTGTTGTCTTTACACCTGTTCTTTATTTTACCTGTATTTTCAAGCCCGATCCCATCTTTTTCTTAAAAACAAAAACAAATATCATTTTACTGGATAATAAGTTAGGATGTTGGAAAGCAGTACCAGGAAAGACATAAGACTTTGACAACAAAAGCAATAGAAATTGAAAACATTCTGAAAACCACTACAAGCATAGCATGAGGGGGTCTTCCGGAGTGCTGGTAACACTCTTTTTACCTTGGTGCTGCTACGTGGGTACAGTGAGTGAGTGAAAGTTCATTGATATCTGCACTTTTTGGAGATGTGTTATTTTTAAAGAAAAAAATGAGCGTCTAAGATGTGTGGGATAATATCAAACTTAAAATATCTGCAGTTTTCTGTATATACGTTACACCTCAATTAAAAGGTGCTTTAAATAAGATCAGGGAGTGATTCTTCAAAAGGCAGTTGGCTATACTCACCTTCAAGTCTAAGCACTAAATCTCACAGAGCCTGGCCACAAAAGGGATGCTCAGTATGTATGACTGGAATGGAATTCCAAAGACATGTTTTAGCCCTGTAATTTTGAGTGCTTTAATACTGTGTTTAATCATACAGGATAGCATCATGGAAAACAAATACGTGGAATCCACTTTCCTTAGAATTACTTGTATGTGTCTAAGTAGAGAGACGTTAGGCTGAAAAAATTGGGGCACCCTTTGACCATTTTTCAACTGAATTGTGAGGGGTCTGGAATTCTGTTAAAGCTGACAGACAAAAATTCTTGTAAACTGGGGTAGATACGTCAGAACAACAAGAGAATAAACACTTTTCAGACAGCTTTGCAGCATCATCTAGGTTCACGGCAGTGTGGAGTCAGGTGGCAGGAGACCTTGAGGCAAAAAGAACCTTACCTGGGGCACAGGGGTGGCCTTCCTTTTGAACCCTGAGAAATGCAGCCCGCACGGTCCAGGGCGTCCCCTGGGAAAGAGGCGAGCTCCTCCTAGATGGTGCCGGCAAAGGGCGTGGTGTGGTGGCTAAGCACAGGGACTAACTGGGTCTGAATCCTAGCTTCCTCTTTTACTAGCTTTGTGACCTTGTACAAGTTATTTAACTTCTCTGTGCTGTCCTGCCAAAGGCAGTCAATTGCTGTACACAGGTTTGCCAGGTAGACAGATCACATTATAAGCATAGCCCTAAAATGCAACATGACCCTCTTCTTCGACATGCAGAAAGGGAATTGATCATCTGGAACGTGGGAAAACATTATCCTTTCAGTGTGATGTACGCTCTCATAGCTTTGTCCTGTAAACTGGCAAATGCAGCCCACAGGAGTTGAGATTGAACATCAGAGACAGTTGTCCACTAGAGTTAAAGAATGACTGGAGGAGAGATGAAAATATCATTTTCTGCCCACTGCAAGGTCTTCCTTATGATCCAAACCATGGTAGGTGTTACCTTTATATTTATTTATTTCTAACGAATGCCTATAGCTCAACCTGTTTTATCCTTTGATAACAGGAGGTTGCCTTAAATTCACTTAGAGACTTTTCTGCTTTCCTTCATGAGCTGTCTGTGCCCCTTGGCCAGTCATAACAGAAGCAACTAACTGGTAAAATCAATGAAAAGGTAGAGGGGTTTTTTCTATGCCTTAGAAATGCCCCATACATGTAGCAATTTTCAGAATGTTTGACATTTCTATTGTTTTCGCTTTTAATGGTTTATGTTTTTCATGATGTTGCTTTCCAGCCTTGTAACTTAGTGCCCACTAAAAATGACAGAAGTTTTTCTTTTTCAGAATTGCCCATCGTGTGCTGTTTCTTGATCTGCGTGCCGGTTGCACAGGATTGCTCAGTTTGTGGACCTTCATCAAGCTGTACACTTGTGCATGTATACTATATTTCAATAAAAAGTTTTATACACACACACACACCCAAGTACACACAATTAAAAAAAACTTGTCACCCTCCACAAAAAGGAAGTAGTTGGGACTGCCAGGCATGTGACAAGGGCGCATGAGTGGAAAGTGTCTGTTCCTCCCTGTCCACCTCAGTTATGTCCATTGGAGGCAGCAAGGAATGATGGTTAAGAACAGGACTCCACGAGCTAGACTAACTGGGTTCGAATCCTGGCTTCCTAATTTTACTAGCTGTGTGATCTTGTGCAAGTGATTTAACACCATCAAGCTTCAGTTTCCTCACCTGCAAAATGGCGGTAACAGTACAGCCCTCCTAAGGGTACCATGAGGAGTCAAGGAGTGAGTCCCAGGTGGAAGGCACCTGGAACCATGTGGGGCACACATCAGGGCTGCAGAAGTGCTAGCTCCTCCATGATCTGCAGTAGCCATACTTCCCTCACACGTGACTGCTTCCACTCCTGGAACATTTAAGTCTCCCATATATCGTATCTATTGGCCTATTTATTTTTGCATGGGAAGAATGCAGAAGAGAGGGGAGGGTTAATACATCTTCTTCAGTCCAGAGCATATTATTTTCACCATCAGTTTATTCACCCGTATACCTATTTCCACTCCATGCCCCCCACCCCTTCTCTGCCCTGCAACCTTTCCAATGCACCTGATGGATATTTAGCTTTTGTGTGAGCTCTTGGAAAATGTAAATTGTATGGTGTGCATGTATTTTTGACATGAAAAGTATGGAACTAGAGAACTGGATATTTTTTAACTTGTTTTCACACGGTGATATGCCTTAGGCTCCATCCGCACTGCTGCGTCCCCCTCAGGCTGTTGTTCTAACTGCTAGATGTTACGGATGGCATCCACCCTATTTTCCCAATCACTCAACCGTCTGCACCCACAACACCCCCCAACTTTCTGGCACAACAACAATGCTGCAAGAAGCATCTGTGTCCTGGGACAGAGGCCACTTTTCTCAGGTTGGGATTGCTGGGTGATAGGGCAGACTATGTCTAGTTTAACTACATATTGCCATTTTACTCCCCCAAACAGCCTGATGACTCTGTGGAACAGCTGCACCACACCATTTAATTACAACATTCTTAATGAGGTAGATAGTGTTGTTCCTCCACTGTACTGACGAGGTAACAAGAGACCTTCCCTGGGCCACATAGCTAGTCCACAGAATTCGAAAACAAGTCTGCATGATCTCAGAGCCCGCACGCATTCCACTATGGGGGCCAGGACAAGGGCATTCCTTCCCTGTCCACCTCGAGTCACCTTTCCTCCACTCCAGTCTGGCGGATAACTTTATGACGCGCATTCATGTAATGTCCATGCCCACTCATGCTGTTTAAAAGGTTCTATCCTTCTTTCAAGGCCCTGATGAAAACCCACCAGCTCCAAGAAGCCTTTTCTGACTGCTGCTCACAGATCTCCCTCTGTACAAAATCATCACCACACTGATATTACCATATAATTTATTATCATCTCTGCTTTATTTCTCTGCTAATTATGTTACATTCTTGAAGGTAAAAACCAAATCTTGCCATTTATATTCCTCTACGCCTAACATACTGCTGAGTGCATGCTAGACATTCAAAAACAAGCAGAACTGGGGGCTGGCCCCATGGCACAGCGGTTAAGTGTGTGCGCTCTGCTTTAGCGGCCCGGGCTTCACAGGTTTGGATCCCGGGTGTGCACCGATGCACCGCTTGTGAAACCATGCTGTGGCGGTGTCCCATATGAAGTAGAGGAAGATGGGCATGGATGTTAGCCCAGGGCCAGTCTTCCTCAGCAAAAAGAGGAGGACTGGCATGGATGTTAGCTCAGGGCTAGTCTTTTTCACAAAAAAAACACAAAAAACAAAAAAAACCAAGCAGAACTCTACAGACTTTTAACACTACAGATGTTCTAGCTCAAAGATCATCTAGTCCTAACCCTTTATTTCACAAAATGGGAAAAAAAAAAATCTCTGAAAAGTTGAATAATGATTATCTAATAACTAGGATAAGAGTAATCATTATTTACAGGATAGCTACAATTTGTCTGGTACTCATTAAGTACCTGACTGTGTGGTAAAAACTTTTCATGCATTATCTCATTTACTACTTTAAACAATTTGATGAGGTGGATATTATTTTGTTCCCCATTTTTCAGATGAAGAAATTGAGGCTTTCAGGGTGATTAAGTAATTGGTTCAAAGTCATAGCTACCAAGTTTCAGATATGAGATTCATGCCCATTTTAGCTGGGACCAAAGGTAATTTGTAGATGGCTGATGTAAAAACAAACAAAAACTATAACGCTGCCTCAAAAATTTCTATTAGAAATGTAACACCCCTAAAAGCCTTTGTAAAAGAGTTTACATAGTACATTTTATGTGACTAAAATACTCAGAATAATTATGGCAACCAGTCTTCCCAACCCCTTCCCCATCTTTCAACATCCTTAAATATAGTAACAAGTATTACATCCTCCAAAAAAGAAGAAATCCTTCTTCAACACTTGAAATTCCTAGGACTAGGAAGGTGTTAATTACCATCCAGAAACTCAATGCATAATAAGGCTCAAAAATGTAGATATTTTAAAGCCTATTCCCTTAGTGCTTAAAAAATCAACCTATTTCTTTTGGTTTTACAGACAGAAGCACGATTCCATGATCTCCGTCGCCTTTATTCTACATCATCTTTGCAACTATGAATTCTAGTCAATGCAGCTTCTTGTCGCCTCTGAACGGTGGGTTTCTAAGGTCTCAAAGACATTTACTCTTTGGATAGGTAAAAATGAAAAAAGGGTCAATCCTAAACGGTTTAGAGTAGTAAAAAAACAAGACCATCTGCTCTGAGATAGCTCTGGGCTGATTTTCCCAGCAAGGAGCCCAGGTTTTATAAACCTTGTTCTCGTTAGAAAAAGGTAGAGAAATCGCTGAGAATCAGTATAAAGGATTTTCAAGCCCTATAACAGACTGAAACAATGTATTTTAAAATTATGTACAGGTTTTTGGTAGTTGGATCATCTGTCCATTTGGGTAGTTGGTTTGTTTTTTAAAGGAGGATAGAAAGTTAAACACATTTTGGTTTTGAAATTTATTAAATGCTATGCCTACCACTATTTACTCTCACATGCTCAAAATTTCAATACAGTCTTTATGACCCTTTTTATTCTGGATCAGCAAAGCCTCCAATGGAAAATGACAGCTCATCTAGAATAAATCTTCATCATCCTTTTGTGCTGAAATGCCAGGAGATTTGAGAACTAATCCTCTGTACACTCTCGTGCTTTTTCCTGTCCAGCTCCTGTCTCCCCAGATCCTGTTCCTGATGTTCTCATACCAAATTGATTTTTATTTAACAGAGGCCTTTACCAGCTCCACAAATAACTGCTCTGTGGTCTTGGAACTATTATTCCTATTGCCTGTTTTGCCTCATTCTTTGTTCATTTGCTGTATTACAACGTTCACACTGGTGGACAGACAGGTGGGCATATTCTCACACAGACACTTTAGAATTCCCAGTGGACAAGCTTACCCAATCAGAGGTACATTACATACCTCTGATTTCCCCTTAACCCTTTATTCTTCTTCAAATAAAACAGATGTGAAAGCTTGCTTTCCTATACTCAAAGCATAAAATGCTTGCTAAGACTAAGAGAAAAAAATTCAGGCTAAAAACAAAAGCCAACTCCTTGAGCAGAAAATGAGCCCCTTCTATCTGGTCCATATTTTCCCCATAGCTTTAAAGTAATTCTGTTTTAAAAATTAACTTCCACTGAAGACACTGATAGAAGACTGCCTCATAGTAATGCTTGGCAAGTAATGAGGAATGACGGCATTTGTAGAGGGATTTTAGGATCGAGAAATGCCATTCAAAAATCTCAGACTAAATGGTCAAGTATTTAGCTATAAATAGCCTTGATAGAAAAGAAAAATAATCCCATAATTTGATTAAGAGAACATTTCATATACTCTCATTTTATAGACGAGAAAACCTAGAGCAACGGGGGCTCAGTGTTAAGTGGCTACCCAAGGCCATAGAGCTGGTTTATCACAAAGCCCAGTGTACAGCCCAGCCTAGTATATTCTTTCCACCACACCGTATGGCTACTGGGAAACTAAACGTTTCTACCTGGTCACATTTCTTCCAAGATTACACAATGCAACTCATAATAAAATCAATGTTCTCCAAAGATTTGGCAGCTGGTTTACCCTAAATTGTTACTGACCCTCAGAATGTGGGCACCTGTAATTTGCAAGAGTTCTTTACTGCAACTCAGGTGTATTGAGCTGAAAATGATACAGTGCTGATTCTAAACCAATGTGCTTATAATGAAAGGTCACTGGCTACACAGATGCACATTTCCATTTGCTATTTACTGTCCAAGTAACATATCCACACTGCAAACAGTGGCTTCTCCCATCATTTCTTAATGTTAGAAAAGATTTTTAGGCCCTTCTCAAATTTCTACTACTGCAGTATTTTGGGGAGGAAAGGCTCTGACCTTTAAAACCTATTTGGTAACATGGCTGAACCTTTTCACACAGCACATTAAGGCACCAGACATCATCTTTATAGCAGTTTAATGAGTTCCTTTTAGAGTTTGTCTAGAAAAAGAAGCCATGATTCTCACTCAAAACAAAATGGAACAACAAAAAGACTGTCACCACCAATAGAAGAAAATCAGCTAATTTACAGTGTAATAGATCACACTTTGCATGAGGCACAGTATTTCTGAAAATGCCAAGGCAGAATGAAAGGAATACAGGAAAAAAAAAAAAAAAGAGGAGAAACAAAAGCACATGCTCAATTGAGTCCTTACAACACCACTGACCAAGAGGCACATGCTGGGTGTAACAGTGGATGTGCTTCATCACATGATATTTTAGTGCCTCATTAGTTAAAACTCTTGGGTGGGATCTGAGAAGGACCTGCTATACTCTTGAGCTATGCTCTACTTCAGCAAAATGCACATCTTACATGATGAAACCATCTGACTTTCTCAAAGCTAGTTCATTTTTTTCCCTCACATACCAACAGAACTTCTGTGACTTGATCACAAGGATCCTGAGCCAAAGTAAGCTTTGGAGCGTGGAGAGGGGGACATCCAAGGCACTTAATGAATGTAACAAAAGGCTATGACATCGAGTCCACTTTCAAATACCTCAGCATGAATTATATAATATTATACATTGGTTAAAATTATATCCTATACACAGTCAGTTGTCCTAATCAGAATCTGCTCCCCCAGAGTGGTCAACTAGCATTGTATCTACATCTCAGTCGACACCAGAGATTTTGCTAATTAGCATACTGAAATGGGTTTTCATTGCTGAAATCAAAATCGGTGGCTTCCTAGTCAGCATAACGGATGTGAAAAACAGGCTTTCCTTGTTGAAACTAGTGGTATTTAAGGTAAGGAAATTGGCAAAATGATTTGAGAGACATTCTCCACCTTTGCGTGAACAAGGCATAAAAATCTAGTGAGGCCTGAAACGTGTACCTTAGCACTTGGCTCCAACTGCCCAATGGCCTCATGTCCAGCAGCTGGGTCCGAGGAGCCCTGTTGCATGATGCCCACTAAAAAGGTGAGAGAATCCTGCCTCTAGAAAGCTGTCAGAGGCAACTTCCACTTGACCTTGTGTGGAACTTTCCAGAAAGATTTGGCTGGAGCATTTAAAAGGCCAGAGAGCAGGGACTTCGCTGAGTCTATAGGACAGGCTGCAGGAATGCTCTGTGCCTGTTTGCTAATAAATGTTTGTTTTCTAGAAGTCTGTGTGCAGCACAACTAGCCTGCGACTTGCTTGGGCTGTGTGGGATTAGCAAAACCTCAGCCACTTTTCTGCGGCCGTTGTTATCTCCCAAACAGAACATAAGATTTGGACATGACCAAACGGACTTAAGACTGTTCTCCACAAATACGTAACAAATATGGAGCACGTACAGCTGCTGCACTGGAGTGGACCCACCCAGCTCAGGAAGGTTTCAGGGATTTTACAAGCCAGTTGTTAAACACAGCCATTACTGTAAATTAAAAATATCTCAACTTATAATTAAATACATTATATTGAAAACAAAGGTAATAGATACCCAAAACTGATTTGCTTACTAATTACCTTGCTA